CGCCGGAGAGGAGCGAGAAGGTGTGCCGCCCGCGTCCGGGGGATCCGCGCCTCTCGCTTCGGTTGCCTGTCGGGTGCCTCATGCGGTGGTGGTCCGGCGCTCGGCTCCGTGGGGGAGACGCGGTGGTTCGGCGCGGATGGTTCGCTGGTGCTTGGAGATTGGTGTGATTTGACGGGATTCGGCGGAGGCGCTGGGTTTCGTGGGGCGCCAGGGTTTCGGCGGTTGCGTGTGGGAGGGCGTGTGTGTTTGGTGCTCCCTGAGGCCGATCTGGTGGCGCTCGTGCGGGGGAGCGAGCTGATTCGGCGCGATTCGGAGGTGTGGCGGCGGGATCTTCGTGAAGCTCTTTTCGCGAGGGGGAGGAGGGGGAGGTGGTGGTGGTAGCCCATGGGGCTCGCGCCGCCGGAGCTGGGGCAGTTCGACGGGTGGGAGAGCTCTGGCGAGGAGGAGCGGGAGAGGTGGGGATGGTGCCGCCGCAGCCGCAGCAGCAGCAGCAGCAGGCGCGGCCGCCGCCTGCCACGGAAGGGCGGCGAGGAGGACGCCGGCGTCGCCACCGGGTGCTGCATCCGGCTGTGGCCCATGGGCAACTGCCCGCCGCAGCCGCGCTCCAAGGTCGACACCTCCACCAGCAGCGCCAGCACGCACGGCGGTAATGTCTCTCTCGCGGTGTTGCTTTCCATGTTTGCGGTTGATGCAATGCATGCATGCCCTAGTTGGTCATGGCCTATACTAGTCTGTTAGGTTGTTAATGCTGATGGTGTGTTCCTCTTCCACAGTGTCTCTTTGGATGTTCAGATTCAGATTCCATGTAACGGATGCCCTAGTTGGTTGTCGGTTATAGTTCGTTAGGCTGTTAATGCTTGCGAGCGTGCGCCGCCGGTCACATGTCGTTTTGGATGTTTCGGTTTGATTACTGTATGCCGTAGTTGGTCGGCGGTTACAGTTCGTTAGATTCTTATAATGCTGAGGATGTGTGTGTTTTGGTGGTTAAATTGCTAGGGAGCTGAGTGAACTACATGTGAGTACAGCTTGGCACAAAAATCTTTGGCCGTTGCAACGTTGTCGAGAAATGAATGTACAAATGTCCTAGTAATTAGTATGACAAGCCGACAAAACATATGAATTGTGAAATAGTTGGCGAATTCTAGTATTCTATTGCATATTTAGCACCGCATTTCTAGCTGAGCTGTTAGTCTGTTAATGCTGATGACGTGTGCCGTGTTCACGGTGTCGTTATGGATGTTTCGGTCTGATGCAGTTGTGGATGTTCTAGCTGACTGTTAGTCTGTTAGTCGGTTACAGTTCGTTAGATTTTTTAATGCTGAGGATGTGTCTGTTTTGGTGGTTAAATTGCGGGAGAGTTGAGTGAACTATGTGTGAGTGTACTAGTGCAGCTGGGCACAATAATCTTTGGTCGTAGCCACGTTGTCAAGCAATGAATGTAGAAATGTCCTAGTAGTATGACAAGCCAACAAAACGCATTAATCGTGAAATAGCTGGTGAATTTTACCGAACATTGAGCACCGTATTTCTAGTGAGATTCAGGTGTCGTCATCACCTAATTAATTAATGTGAAATTGAAGGATGGGATTCTGGAATAGCAAGTGTACATGTGGGACTAGTGGCACAAGTGCTTTCATGAGTATCTATTTTTAGAATAGCATGGTATGTTGTTGCTTCACACAGGTTGCACTAAATCGTGTAACAATTTAATGAGAATGATGCACAAGCAATCACGCTGGATGTTGATAACTTGATAATATAACGTCACTCACCTACCTGACTCTGATTTTGTTGATGTCATCTCCTGTCTGATGTTTAAAATAGTAACCACTTTCTCAAATCATATTCATCAAGACTTTTTGCTTCATCCATAGATGGAAATGTATAATTTAGAATGCATGAGAGATCAATATAGCTGCTTTATGAAGCCCTTTTGGTTTAGCCAGTGGCATCTATTTCTTACAAACAATACATGGTTGGATCTCAGATAGATAATTTAGGTCTACTTTTGCATTTTTATGCCGTGCTGTGGAATCTAGTTAGTTACGTTAGGCTTGTGCTGGCCAGTACTAATTCTGGTACACTGTTTATCATATGGGCCTAGCGGACCTCTTTATGTAGTTTGTAATCTAAAGTAGACAAGAACAGTTTGGGTAAGTAAAAAATTTAATACCAAACAGTCCTTAGTTGATTCTTCTCCACTTGCTAACTAGATTATTTCAGAATTTTAGGCATGAAGAAATAACATATTAACATGGTACCGGATGATATGAGGACTGAGTCTAGCCAGCTACTTAATTTTCCTCTAATTCAAGGATATATGCCCTGTGTTTGTACTTATGCCTTGGAACTAAAATCATGAGCTAAAGCATGATGTAGAGCTACGAGAAAGGACTCCAGTTGGCATATGGGTCAGTAGTCTCTGTCATGTTTATTGACCTTTGTCAGTGAATCCCTTCTCCCCTTCTCCTTAAGAGAAACCTATTTCTATTTCTTCTTTCCAAAATTTGTAAAAAAAAAGGGTAGATTATTCAGCTAGGTATTTGAAGGAGAAGCCTATTTCTGCTTATTCTATTGGAAATTTCTGATTAAATGGTTGCCTATTCTACTAGGTATTTATTTAGGAGAGATGTTTTTTGATCCTTGAAAGGTACGACCAGGTATCTGCACTCAATGATACCAGCAACTGATGTGTGAAATGGCATTCTGGTGTGAGCATATCGTAAGCAAGATTAAGTTGGTAATTAATAGCCTCTCCAAGTCCAACACTGCTTTTCTAAAAAAAACGTCCAACACTGCCATTCTTTGTCAAACAGTCACCTGGAGCATTTCTGTTGAGCCTCTCCTAATGCATCTATGCTCCGATTCCCCACCTAAATCCTCGCATTACTACTTGCTTCTTCAAGCTGGCACAAATTGTAGTTCTTTCTAATCAAGAGTGTGAGTAACCACAGCAACTTGCAAGGTTACTGTAGGTTTACTTCGGTTACTTAGATTAATATGTGTGATTTACTAATCTATTTGTGTCTGCCAGCTTTTGTAATTTGCTCTTCTGTAATGCAGTGATAGAAATATGTAGGTTTACTTCGGTTACTTAGATTCATATGTGTGGCCTTGTGGGTATACATGGAGTTGCGTATCTAAAATATCATTTTATTCTTGAAGTTAGTACATGTGCTACAACTTAAAATACATTTCTACCAGTACCTCTTCCTCTAAACATCGGATTATAGTTGATGAACAGATCTTGTGAGTCCCAAGCACCAAAACATCTCTTAGGGAGTTCGCTATTGTTATATGAGTTAATTGTATTTAGTATGTGTTTGCGTATGCCCCATACTTAAAATTACACTTCCCTGTCCTGCGGGGATACCTCAGACTTGGCTGCGTAGATTGAAATTATGTTTATTCTTATTGTTACCGTGGGGACATTCTTGTCTTATTATGGTATGCTAAAACTGTTATTCATTGCCTGGAACAGCAGAAAAGTCAGCAGAAAATGGTAGCAGGAACCAACCTGTTGTGTCAGTAGTCTCAGGCTCGACATCTACTAGTAATGCTGAGAGCAGTTCATCAGCATCTAAAGCTGCAGAGGAAATAAAGGTTTCCTCTAAGTTACGCAAGTTTGGATTCAGTGATCTAAAATGCGCCACACGGAACTTCAGACCCGAGAGTCTTCTCGGTGAAGGGGGTTTTGGATGTGTGTTTAAAGGGTGGATCGAAGAGAATGGGACTGCGCCTGTGAAACCTGGTACAGGTCTTACAGTTGCTGTCAAGACGCTCAATCATGATGGTCTTCAAGGGCACAAAGAATGGGTGGTATGTGCTTTGTTACTTCAAGCTATGTTTATTTTGATCTTCACTATCCAATTTCATTAGGATTCTCAATGATTCTCCTCCGTATTCTATTTGCAGGCAGAAGTTGACTTCCTTGGTAACCTTCACCATCCCAATTTGGTCAAATTAATTGGATATTGTGTTGAAGATGACCAAAGATTGCTGGTATATGAATTTATGCCGCGTGGAAGTTTGGATAATCATCTGTTCAGAAGTATGTACTGACCAGTTCTCAAGCACTTGAAGCTTTAAAATTTTCATAGAGCCTTTGTCCCGTTCTGTTCATCATTTTTTCTTTTGAGGATAACATGTTCCAAAGTGTTTGCCCATTGCATCACTCAGTTGGAAAATATTATTTATTTCGTGGAAATTCGAAGCTTACATAAATTTCGATTCATATATAGGGTCTCTTCCTCTCCCATGGTCCATCAGAATGAAAGTTGCTCTTGGGGCAGCACAGGGTCTTTCCTTCCTTCATGAAGAAGCAGAAAGACCAGTCATTTATCGTGATTTTAAAACATCTAATATACTGCTAGATTCGGTAAGTATTGAATCCTTGAATTTATTTCATTGCGCATCACATGACTCACATAGTTGCATCCTGTTCATACGTGTAAATGTTGCTCTTGCAGGAATACAATGCAAAGCTCTCAGATTTTGGGCTTGCCAAAGATGGTCCTGTAGGTGACAAAACTCATGTGTCTACTCGAGTAATGGGAACCTATGGTTATGCAGCTCCAGAGTATGTCATGACAGGTAAGTGGTTCATCAGACATTACTTGCCAGCTCTGGAAGAGTGAATGATACGTACAGAAACAGCTTAGCTAGATTTGGAGTACTTGCATAGGTCACTATGCATCATATGATCATTGTCATTGACATACTTAAGATATGAAATGATGCTTGTTGGGTAGTGGTAAATGGCATGAATACAGACATACAGTTTGAGCAATTTCTTGGTATTACACAGAAGTTTAACTAGTAGTGTTGGCTTTGTCGGGTGTAACTAATTTGAGTGCATCTATCCATTCATGCAAGAAGCCCTTAGTGTCCTCATGTATAACTGATTTCCTGGCAAAAGCAATATGCGCCAATCTACCAAAATCAACACTATGTCTTCTTAATTTAAAGGCAATGTTGGTGCTTGATATTGGAATGCTGCTTGGTTAAATTGTTCAATTATTATTTTTTAGATAGATGTATTCTCCTTATAGTGGCCAGTTGCGCGATGTTTGTTCTAATGTTACTAGCTTTCATAACATATTTTCCGAATTTCAGGTCATTTGACATCAAAGAGTGACGTCTATAGCTTCGGTGTCGTGCTGCTTGAGATGATGTCAGGACGAAGGTCAATGGACAAGAACCGCCCAAACGGCGAGCACAACCTTGTGGAGTGGGCGCGCCCCCTCCTAGGAGAGAGACAGCGTTTCTACAAGCTAGTCGACCCTCGGCTGGAGGGCAATTTCTCGGTCAAAGGTGCCCAGAAGGCAGCACAATTGGCACGCGCATGTCTGAGCCGGGACCCCAAAGCCCGGCCGCTGATGAGCCAAGTGGTTGAAGCTCTCAAGCCACTGCTGAACCTCAAGGACATGGCCAGCTCCTCCTACTTCTACCAGACGATGCAAGCGGAGAGGATGACACATTCGAGCAGCATGAACGGCAGGAACAGCCATAGCCTCAAGGTGCATGGGTCTTTTGCCCGCGCAAGCGCAAACGGGCACCAGTCGATGAGGAGCATGTCTGATGGCCCCCGCGCGTCCCCGTTTCGCTACTCACCAAAGCCGAACGTGAAATAACCATAGCTGCGCGTCGCTTCGTAATCCTGGTCGAACCTAGAGTCTCTCCAGATCATTCTGGGGGTGGTGGAACTTGGGTCGGGGCGGTAGGTGCCGCGGGTTAACATTGTTGTGCGACATGAATTGATGTCTGTCTGTCTGTGGTGTAGATTTGACATGTGAAGAAGATATAGGTGGAAAAAGAAGATGCTTTGCGTTGAAGGTTAATCTCAACTGGATGCTGCTATACATCTCTTTTCTCTTTAAAAAAATGATGTGAAGTTGCTCTTCATCCCTCCCTCGGGTGGCACTTGGTTAAGAAACAGTCCATGTGCCACTTGGAGAAGAGATGGCGAGTCACGGCAGCCAATCATCCTTGGCTTGGCACGCACGCACGCGGTTTAGGAGAGGAGGCATTTTTCTGCGAGCAAATGAGCTCGATGCCATTTCCTCGCTTGCTTCTTGCGCACAGAGAGGTAGGATAGGACCTTTATCCTCTTCTTGTGCCAAGAGGCAATGTCTATAAGAAGAGAATGGGTAGCCATTGTACCGTGGTGGTTGGGGCGTTCGTCTCCTAGCGCCCATTTTAGACGCCTGAGGAACGCTAGGTCCGGGGGTTAGGGATGGACGGTGAAGCTGATGCAACGTTCCTCCCTGATTAGCCGGTTCTATCATTGCACGGCTCTATCGCTCGAAAATTCGTTTCGGTGCCCGAGCCCAGATGCACCCGATATCCTGGTCGCACTTTCCTCTCGAGATCTTCATCCTGCGCAGTATTCTTACGTGTATTATGTGTCGTATCGATGGAAAATTCACCCAGCGTCCGCATTTACTGCTAGTAGGTACCATCAGGGCCCAGATGTTTCCAACACGGCCCAGCCACTTTCCTGGGCCTTGTCGTGCCGTTCTGCCCCCCGTCTGACAAAGTTTTTCCAAAAGGAAATTGAAGGCTGACTGCGTGTGTACCGGAATATGCCCCTAAACTAGCGTCTTAGGGATATTTTACGTTTTAACTCCTCAAGTACTTTATAGGACACTCGCCCCATACACTAATAAAGCGGTGCTAATTACTATCTAATCCCTTCTTTCATCCGGTTCAACTAACGTGGTCTATTATGAAGCCGCTTCTCGCCACGTTGGCTGACACCTCGCGCTGCATGCACTAGTAGGCATATTGTTCACGTAGGATCGAGATATGAGTTATTCGGCGGCAGGGCGGGCCAGACGGTCGACAGCAGCGTCTGCAGTGTTCCACGCCCTTGGCTGCGTCATGCTCAACAGGCTCAAGGCACTCTACGGCGGTGGGGGGCGCCACCGCATATGCATCGGCCTGGAGGCTGTGCATAATCCAGCGGTGTTCATCCACACTTAAAACAAATTGTTACATAAAACCATTGTGGTGCCAGACCAGGGCCAATACGTCACTGTTTACGGTTCACCAATTACTCTTCCACTGACCAACAATTCAACCATTGCTCTTACCAGTTCACATATAGCACTTACATAAATCGCATTATAATTTTTAATGTAGAAACAAGTGCCTCGTGCAATTGGCACGTGCCCAGTGGGCCAGTTCACTCTCCATCTCATCCTCTTACAGAGACATCGCCCACCGCGATTCTGCCAGCCTGCTCGACCCCCACTGATTCTGCAAAGCAGTGCCATGGCAACGACCGCTGCAAGCCATTCCTGCGGTGAGTGCTGCAGCCTGGAGGGCCGGCGCCGACCACCACCACCACACAACCTGCGCAACATACGACATGCTGAAAAGTGGAGGGGCACCACGACATCTCTGCTGCATCTGTCACTACAACATCCACCATGTTGCAAATCACCGGCATTGCAGGAGTGGTGGAGATGCTCCAAAGCAGCATCGATGGGGCTTCGCAACTTCTGATGTCCAGTTCACATACCACAATACCTCCAAATCAGTCAGCTGAAGTGTAGCACATGCCTTGAAGTAAAGAAGCCTGATGTAAAACATGTCAGATTGGAAATGTAAATTCAGTTCAGTGCATATGTCAATTCAAACTGCCATGGCGACATAGAGAAGTACCAGTAGCAAACTTAACAAAAAGGGAAAATTTCCAAGGTTGGTAAAATTAATCAAACTTAATAAAAAAGGATTTTCCCCCAAATTCCTAAACTGGTTGATCTGAAGCCTAGTACAGTACTACTACAAGTGCATCCAACCATGGAGCACTGGACAAAGACATATATGGCAGTAAACTGATTATATAATCTAGTACAAATTGACTCATGGAGTAAACTGATCAACACAAGGAAATGTGTGAAAAATAGTTAAGAGATAGGTAGTATGTGAGATCATAAGGCATTATTCTCCTCATCAGTACCAAGGAAGAAGAAAGAACTAAAGGACCTAGAACAACAACACTTGCATTCTCTTCTTACTGATTGCTAATGAGTGTTTATTTTGCACATGCTTCCTTTTACAAACTAGCCACGGGACAGCCAGACGAGCAGCAACTGTAAATATATGCATGTGTATGTCCTCTGATGACAAAAAGGGCATCCTATTGCAGAGTAGTACCCAAAGTTCATGTAGCAGCAGGCTGTGATGATGATTGATTGGTCTTTATATTTTGCAAATGGGCGACCTTACAATTACGGTTACCATTAGTGTCATTGCCATCTTAAGTTCAGGTATGCTACAATTCCGTATGCATAAATTCTGAAAATTCCATATGCTACAATTCAGTAGAATCATAGCTTGGCCACTGTAAAGAAAAGCATGCATATATAGCTGACAAAGAGATATCATTTAGTAGACATGAAAAGGCGGCAAAGAATCTTGTCTTGATAAAATCTAATTAGAGGTGAATTGGCACATGTGACGTGGAAAAGATTGCCTTCTTTCGTGAATGAAAGTGTGATCTCCCCCTGGCCAATTTGATCTTTGTTGTACAATTTACCCTCCGCATTTATCATTTATTTTTCCATTATAATTTTAATAGGGACGTGCTTAGGATTAATATGGCCGCTAATTACTATAGAAAACATCAAAGATGTAACCTACTGTATCCCAGACTTTTATTATCTTGTAATGCGGAAAGCACAAGAGCATACTAGTGGCTTCTCTACTGTTGGTGATGCCCGGATAAGTGCTTATGCACTGATTTCCCTCCTAATAACAGATAAATTATCCAATAACCTTGTATGGCAATTAAGAAACTTGTGCTAATCTAATACACGATACTGACAAAGAAACAAGTATGATTGATGTCCAGATGCCATGTTACACAAACCTGTCTAAATCTACTTGTATGATTTGGACTGAACCAACAGCAGCTACTGCCTACTCACGTATTGTATACTTGCACGTTCCAACAACTAAAGATCAACATTATAGAAATCTTGAAAATTTCACAACAAGCATCAACACTCTAGATCATGAATCCGTGGAAAAGAAGATTAGGGAACTGTATTTGTTACCCGTGGTGTCTGATGGAGGCTGCCGGACTAGAGATTTCGTGCAGAACCATAGGGCCATGGACTTGTTGGTGCCGGAGAACGAGATGCCGCCAACCAGTACAGGAGAAAGACGACACCGCCGAGCAGCTGTCCAGTAGAGGGGACCAAGGCAGAGAGGGGCCCCGGCGAGACTGAGATGTAGAGAGCAGCGGTGGTGTCGGGGTCGACGGCGACGGGGCTGTGGCAACGGCATCGGCGGCGATGCAGCCCAATGGCCATGGATGGTCGGAGGAACCCTAGAGTGTCCGGATTTGGCTGCTCCAAGCTGTCGGCCAACTCTTCCCTGAGTGGGAACCTTGAAAACCACAACAGAGTAAGCAGCGGCGGCGGGGAATCGAGGAATCCATCAAAGCACGAAAATCCAGAGATGCGGTAGAGAAACTCACCGGTCAACTGGATCCAATAGGAACTCACCATCGGCATCCAGCGCCGCTCTGCCGCGCCCGCCATTACCGTGAGGTGCCTCCCCACCAGCGCGATCACATTGCTCGTCAAACCACCCGACCCGAAGCCCTCGACATGTTTTCCATACGGAGGATCAGGGAGACACGCGTTTCTGTACCCAGACCTGGTCACGGCTCAGCGTAAAAGTGACTAATCTGGGCCACGGACCAGCTTCTCAATCGGTCGGGACGGACGTGCGCACGTACGATTCGGGCCCACGACCACGAACTGTTCGCTACACTGCACAGCCGTATATCGATTTACCAGCGTCTCAGCGCAGACCTGTCAGACCGCTTTTCGAATCCCCAGAAGCGAACCAAGGAGAGAGATTTAGGAGCAGCTGCGCCCGAGCACCAAAACGCCGTGTCCTCGCTCGAAAATTCGTTTCTTTCTTATCTGTCTGCCCAAAACGAAAGAAAAGATGAAGACAATCTGCAGTCTCCGATGAACTGCCGTGGTGGTGGTATGGAAGGAAGAACCCGGTTGCGGTTTGCTAGTGGCAAAAAAAGCCTTCCAGCTGTGTCCCCATGGAATTGCACGGATGGTGCCGCTCGGCTCGCACACCGCAGTGCCATCAGCATCAAATGTTAACTACAGATTTGGCATACGAACTTTTCCGCCAGTGAGTCGAGGCTTGAGATTTTTCGAGGGGTAGTTAAGAGTCACCTAAGATTGATTAATGGATCACTGGCAAAGGCGTGTAGATCTCCTCCGAATCATTGCTATTTGACTCGGACCTGTTCTGAAAAAGTCGAGGTATTTCGAATTGTTTGTTCACACAGACAAAGTAAGGGAAAACCTCTGAAAGAATTTCCATATTGACCTTGGACATATAAGAGTTCCGAATCGAATCTCTTTAGAAAGAGGATCTTTTGTCTCATGGTAGCCTGCTCCAGTCCCCTTACGAAACTTTCGTTATTGGGTTAGCCATACACTTCACATGTTTCTAGCGATTCACATGGCATCATCAAATGATACAAGTCTTGGATAAGAATCTACAACGCACTAGAACGCCCTTGTTGACGATTCTTTACTGCGACAGCATCTAGGGTTCCTCGAATAATGCGATATCTCACACCGGGTAA